AACATAGATGCAAAAATTCTCAATAAAACCCTAGCAAATGGAACACAGCAAATCATCAAGAAGATCATACACCATGACCAGGTAGGATTCATCCCAGGGATGTAAGGATGATTCAATATTCAAAAAATCTATAAATGTAATACACTATATCAATAGAGCGAAAACTAAAACCCACATGATCATCTCCATTGATGCAGAAAAGGCTTTTGACAAAGTCCAACACTCACTCATGTTCAAAGTCCTACAGAAAATTGGAATAGATGGCCTTTACTTCAATCTGGTAAAAGCCATTTATGAAAACCCAATGGCTAACATAATTCTAAATGGGGAAAAACTGAAATCTTTTACTCTTAGATCGGGTACAAGACAAGGATGTCCTCTATCACCACTCCTATTCAATTTAGTTCTGGAATCATTAGCTAGAGTTGTTAGACAAGAGAAAGAAATAAAAGGAATAAGAATAGGTAAAGAAGAAGTCAAATTATCATTATTTGCAGATGACATGATACTTTACTTGGAAGACCCAAAAAACTCCACCAAAAAGCTACCAGAATTAATACACAAATTCAGTAGCATAGCATGATACAAAGTCAATACTCAAAAGTCAATAGCATTCCTCTACACAGATAACAAACACACTGAGAGGGAAATTACAGAAACAATACCTTTTACACTAGCACTGAGGAAAATGAAATACCTTGGAATTAATCTAACTAAAGAAGTCAAAGATCTTTTCAAGGACAATTACAATATTCTGAAAAAAGAGATCATAGGCCATTACTGAAAATGGAAAGATACTCCATGCTCCTGGATAGGAAGAACCAACATCATGAAGAAGGCTATATTCCCAAAATTGCTGTACCAATTTAATGCAATCCCTATCAAACTACCACCCACATACCTCACAGACATAGAGAAATTGTTTCCAAAATTTATTTGGAACCGGAGAAGACCTAGAATAGCAAAGGCAAATATGGGCAATAGAAGCAAGGCAGGAGGCATTACAATTCCCGACTTAAAATTATACTACAAGGCTACTTTAATAAAATCAGCATGGTACTGGCAATGAAATACACCTGAGGATCAATGCAATAGATTAGAAGATGTTGAAGCTGCTACGAACACACTCATCCACCTTATCTTTGACAAAGGGGCCGAACATACTCACTGGAAGAAAAATAGCCTCTTTGACAAATGGTGCTGGAAAAACTGGCTCTCTACATGCCAAAAACTGAAACTTGACCCAGGTCTATCACCATGCACTCAACTAAAGTCAAAATGGATTAAAGATCTGAACATTAAAGCAGAGACACTAAATCTCCTGGAAGAGAAAATAGGAGGAACTCTTGAATACATAGGGGTAGACAAAGAGTTCATGAAGAAAAATCAAATCGCAAGGGAAACAATTCAAAGAATTAACAACTGGCACCTCCTCTTATTGAGAAGTTTTTGCGGGGCTGGTGAGATGGCTCAGAGGTCTAAAGCACCTCCTTAGAACAAGCTAAGCTAAGCAAAAGCAGAGACCGCGGTTCAATCCCCAGCACTACATGCCAGCTACCCCGCCCCCTGGTGGGCTGAACTGGCCACACACACACTAAATAAATAAGTAAATAAAGTTATAAAAAAAAATTTAAAAAAAGAGAAGTTTTTGCACATCAAAAGAAATTACTAACAAAGTGAAAAGACAATGTACAAATTTGGAAAAAATCTTGACAAATAAATACTCAGACAAGGTTCTGCTTTCTACAATTTATAAGACTCAGTGCAGAAATGGGCATCTGAGACGAACACACACTTCTCAGAGGAAGAAATAAAGAAGCAAATAAATATATGAAAAAATGCTCCACATCACCAGCCATCCATGAAATGCAAATTAAAACAACATGGAGATATCATCTCATCCCAGAAAGAATGGCTATCATAAAGAAATCACCCAACAACAAATGTTGGAGAGGCTGGGCGGGGGGGAAAGGAACCCTTCTCCACTGCTCTTGGGAATGTAGACTGGTGCTAACATTATGGAAATCAGTGTGGAGACTCCTTAGAAATCTAGGACTGGAAATTCCATTTAAACCAGCTATTCCTCTACTGAGAATTTTCCCAGAGGATCTGAAAACATCATATCATAGGGATATATGTGTGCCTATGATTATAGCAGCACAATTTGTGATAGCCAAATCTTGGAAACAACCAAGATGCCCATCACTTGAGGAATTGCTGAAAAAGATGTGGTATTTTTATACAATGGAGTATTATACAGCTATAAAGAATGATAAACTCAAAGCCTTTATATTGAAGTGGATGACACTTGAAAATATACTCGTAAGTGAAATAAACCAGACACACATGTGTAAATATTGTATAGTTTAAGAACACAAAAGAAGAAATATAAATAGAAAGGTATAATACAATTAAGAGGAAAGCAAGAACTTGAAGACTAGACAATGAAGAGAGAGCAAGGAGAAGAGCTAGGAAACATGACAGAGGCAAGTTGTACAGTTATATGTACAAGATGGGTAAGACAATGATGCTGAGAATCTTCAGATTTTCGAATATAGCAGTTAATTAGAATGCTTCTCACCCTAACTAACTATATATACTGACACCTGTGAACTAAGCAACTTCACTGAAGATTGCAGTTTGTAATAGTAGTTCATGTTTGGTGTGCCTGTCATTCTGGTCTTCTGAATACGGGCTGCTTGTCATGACATGCTAGTTGCTGCTATGAAGTCTCTCAGGTAGATGATTGTTCAAAAAGAAGGGGGTGGTGAATGTAAGCAAAAAACAGGAAAAGGAATATTGTAGGACTGTCCTGCTTCAAGGTTGTATATGGTGAGATTTTTGGACTTATGTGTAAACATAAGAAGTATATAATTCTTTAGGCCTATCTTTAAAATATATTCTAATTTTTAAATGTTTTTTATCATATTCTGTAGGGACTTAAAGTTCAACATATCAATACTTGATGAAAAATACCTATTCCATATTATGCCTAAGATGTTTGATATACAGACAGATAGTGAGGTTAAGCTGAACAGCCTAAGTTGTATGGTAATAACAATAAGCTTGTCTTCTGGATGGTTAACAACCTAAGTTTGCAGACCAAAATTAGATGAAAAGGAGGGCTGCAAGGAAAGCCAACATTTTGGCCCTAACCTTCTAAGGTCAATTAAGACTCAGGACATATGAGAACTTGTACTGTAACGTCATGTACCTCGATAGTGTCCCAAATTTTCTGATCAAGGAGATTATGGGGCCAAAGAGGAAATTGATCCATGATGTAGAGTGTGCCTAAGGAGAGTCACATGGGGAGAAAACATTCTCTCAGGTTTTCACAGAGAGCACATTGGCCAAGCAATGGCTGTGACTCATCCACATGGTTGACACTGACAAAGGTTCTATAATCTGAGGTACAGGATCTCAGGATAAATCCTGAGGGCATTTCACTGACCTTCTCAAACCAAAAAGCTACAACTCTTGTTGCATAGGTCCTGCTTTACCTTGGTCTTAACCACCCAGCAGAAAAATATAAAAACAAAATATGAGAAGTAAAGCCATGCTGTTATGTTGAGCTGTAGGAGACTCAGGTCAAAAATTTCTGACATTGCCAGTGAAGCGGAAGACCCAATACTATTATGGACTACTGAACTCTTTTAGATTATTTTGCTGAGTTAACACACCTATGATGTTCAAATAATGGAACTTAACAAAAAAAGGGTATACAGATGAATGTCCATTTTGTATCTGTGTATTCAAAGTGATTAGGATTGATATATAGTTACAATCTCTTAATGAATAGAATGATTTGTTCTAATGGTGTTTGTAGATAGGATATCATGTCCACATCTTGTGCAGCAATTAACCACCTGGAAGAGAGTATGCAATGTGTTAATTATTGAAACTGTCCTACCAATTTGATTTGAAACTGTCTCACTGCTATTTGTTTATCAATAAAATTATGGAAAAAAAGAAAGTTAATATGCATCAACAATGGGATGGTCATGGGCTGCCTGGGGGTAGGATGCAGGACAGAAGCAATGGGAAGGAGGATTGCAGAGGAGCCCCAGGACCACTGCCGGATGTCATGTGTGTTCTCTAATAGGATCCTGTTTGGCGGTGGTGCAAGTGTCCACATCTGCTAACACTTCACAGCTACACACATATGGGCATTTTATGTCTTGGGTCTGGTGAAGTTTTTACAAGTAAATAATATATGAAAACAGAAGAGTGAGACAGGTAATGACAGTGGAAATGAGAGAGCCACTAAGAGACAACACCATTAACACTGGGACTGCCTCCTCTCAGCAAACAGCCAAATTCAGCAGAGTCACACAGATGTGAACTACAGGAAGTGGGAAATAGAGACAGCCTCAGGTGGGTCCCTCTCCGTTCAGGAGGTGGAGCAGGAAGTTGCTCACAACGTAGGAGAGAATAGACCCAACAACCGGCATCATCTGTAAGACAGGACTCTGTAGATAATACAACAGTTTCTGATTCCAGGGCCTGCAGTGCTGGCCCCAGCCCCAGGGCGCTCTGAGACTGGGTGTGGTGGCGCACACCTATAATCCCAGCTCTTGGGAGGCTGTAAACAGGAGAATCACTGCGAATGCCATCTACATAGTGAGACCCTGTAGACCCTTACTAAAAAAGAAAAAGAAAAAGAAAAATCAGTTTTTGACACTTCCATTATTTTACAAGATTACACAGAAAGCAACATAAACAAAAAATCCGTACTGTGTACATGCATAAAAGTGAAAGGAGATCCAGCCATAAATGCTGAAGGAGACTCTTATCACACAATTGGATGTCATTGTTTTCTGGAATGCTACACTGTTGCCAAACTTCCTCAGCACCCTCTCAGCTGCTGTATGCAAGTCCCTCTCTGAGACAGTCCCTCTGTGTAGACAGAGCTGTCTACATAGCCAGAGGCCATGCAAATAGGGCCTCCCCCTGCGGCTGAAAAGCAGGCCAGCCCTCACCCTACAGCTCTGTAGAGGAGCTCAGCCTTGCATACTCAGCTGTGAGCACAGACAGCTCACTATGGAGTTGGCAATAAGATTGGCTTTCCTTCTTGTCTGTTTTAAAGGTAATTCACGAAAAACTCAAGATATTGAGTGTGTGGGTCGCATGAGTGGGATAAACAGTGGCCGCGTGTAATAGTTTTCTCACCAGGATGTCTCTGTGTTTGCAGGTGTCCAGGCTGAGGTGCAGCTAGTGGAGTCCGGAGGAGGCTTGGTGCAGCCTGGCGGGTCCCTGAGACTCTCCTGTGCAGCCTCTGGGTTCACCTTCAGTAGCCACTACATGAGCTGGGTTCGCCAGGCCCCAGGGAAGGGGCTGGACTGGGTCTCAGCAATTAGCTCTGATGGTAGTAGCACATACTACGCAGCCTCCGTGAAGGGCCGATTCACCGTCTCCAGAGACAACGGCAAGAACGCGCTGTATCTGCAAATGAGCAGCCTGAGAACCGAGGACACGGCCGTGTATTACTGTGCGAGAGACACAGTGAGAGAACATCACTTTGAGCCCGCACACAAACCTCCCTGCATGTGCGCTCAGGACCAGCAGGGGGAGCGCGAGACACAGTTCAGAATACTCCAGAGCACATTTGAAGTAAAAAAAAAAAAAAAAAAAAAAAAAAAAATTCGACTTTGGATAGAAAAGGACATGGGACGAATCTCTTGCAATAAGGAGGTATTCCAAAGGAACAAGATCCAGAGAAGAGGAGGGAAAAAGAAAATGAAGTTTTGCCATATAGAGGAGCCAAATAACCTCAATTCACGTGAAGATTATATGCCGTAACACAAGGTAAGATTAATATCAACAAGAATGAAAAATGGAATAGGGACAATGGAGGAGGGGGAACAGAGGGGAGGGGAACAGAGGAGGGATCAAAAGGAATCAAGCTGTAGCTGCGCCTGTAACCACTCCCCAAGATGATTGTCAAGTGCATGTGCTATAAATATACACTAATAAAATTAAGAAACACAATGCAGTGAAATGTGATTTTCTGTCAGCGTCTAGGGGTCCTCCAGATAACACTTACCCTGATTCTTCAAGTTCATATGGCTATCTTTACCTCGAAGTCTCAGACAAGTTGTTGTGGTTATTTGGATAGAAACCATTTTCAACTGTGAAGAACATGGATTATCAGTCTTGCCTAAATGACTCTGCTTTATTCTTCTGGCCGAGGTCCTGGTGAAGCTCAGGGAACCTGGTCACAGACTGGATGGAAACTGGATCCGTGGTGAGGGGCAGTCGGTATGAGCCCAGACACAAACCTCACTTCTGGGATGAACAGGGCCAACAGACCCTGCTCCTTAGGCCCAGCAAGGTGCAGTCCCTTCAAAGCGAGCAGAGGAACACTCAGTGTGATCCAGTTGCCCTGCCCTTCCTGGGTCCCAACACAGGAGCAGCTGTGCTGAGGCCCTGGGGCGACGTTAGCTGCTGGGACCCTGGGTCCTCCTTACTCTTCATCCTGCTGTGATTCATTTCTCTCTAAGTAGAATAATAATTGTCTCTGCCTGTCTTTCATTAAATCTTCTTCATGCAAGCTCAACTGATATCATCTTATAACTGTAAATTTGATAACCATTTATAAACTTACTGAGATAATCTAGGTATCAACAATTTCTCCATTAAAAATTTTTTTTTTCCTCTGTATTTTAGGGAAGGATCTATAGGGTGTTCAGGGTCTCACTACTAGATTGGACTCCTAGTGGTCCACCTGTTTACAGCCTCCCAAATGCTGGGATTACAGGCACACGCCACCATGCCCAGTCTCAATCGCTGTCTCAGCATGCCCTAAGGAGAGGGCTGGCATGGCAAGCCCAGGGATCAAACCTCTGGCCCCTGAGCCTGCTTGCAGGTGCTTTAAACCACTGAGATATTTGTCTGGCCCTCCATTTAGAAGCTAATAGTTGCATTATTTGGGAGCATATACCATTAACACAGCAACCATCAATATAATGTGATTATAAAGCATTTTTCTGAATGCCAAAGGAATAGCAAAGGTTTTTAGCTGTGACTTTTCCCTCTTGCACATCCCACTCTGTGACTCAATGAACATGAACATAAATCCATTTTCGCCCATATGGATGCGACTTTTCTGAAAACTTTATTAAGATTCAAAACATTAGGTGTTTTAATCTAAATCAATGTTTAGAAAAATAATTGCAGTTTTTGCATATTATGCCCCTTATGCTGAGGTGGCTGTGGAAACATTACAGTTCTTGAAAATGGTGATTGAATTGAGAGTTTTTATAGGTACTCTGAAACTACATTAGTATCTTTTGAAATTAATACAATGAATTCCTCGTGTGAATTTTTTTTGTCTCTCTCTCTCTCTTTTTTTTTTTTTTTTTTTTTTTTTTTTTTTCTTTTCCAGATTTTATTTTAAAGTTTTAAAATTACAACGCCAGCAAATTTCTCCCGGCACAAGTAACACTTGTTTAAAAAAGGCGGGGGTGGGGTGGCACAAGTGCGCGATTTTTCATATTAAAAATAAGACAGACAACGGTTTTTTCTCCCAGATCCCGATGTAAAACCTAAGTAGTAGCCCTAGGTATGCATATATACAAATGCACACACGCGCACATAGATCTAGTTCTATAACTACGTAGCAAATTCCAAATCAACTGCAGTATGTCTTACCGTCCACTCCCTGCCCCTCCCCCTCCCCTCTACATCTACTTAAAAAAAAAAAAAAGACTCAGAAGTAAAAAGAGGTCTGGAGGTTTTTAAGCAGCTGGTGGTGGGACTGGACCCCCACCAGACCAAGCAAAGCCACGTCTTTAGAGAAGGAACAAAACACAGAGAAAAAAAAAAAAAAAGTCCTCCCAAGACGATAATAATCCATCAAATTGTATGGAAAAACCCAAGTTTCAACAGGGCACAGTGAGGCACTTGGCTGACTCCCCATCCTTCCCCCAAAGTTTCCGCTCCCATTAAGAGACTTCGCCGACGCCACAGAGCCCCCACACCCCATGGCTGATTTCTAGCTCACAGTGAGAAGCTAGTTTCTCCAGGCAGCTGCCACTTGTCCCCCTCCTCTTCCCTAAGACAATAGGGAGGCCAGAAGGGCACGCAGACCCCAGACCGAGGAGAGAAGGACGTGGCCTCGGACCCCCTGCTGCTCTCCCCCCTCACCCTAACAAAGATTCTCACTGGGGTGCCCAACTTAAAAAACAAAACACTTTAAAGACACTCCTGCAGACCTTTACAATAAATTCCTGGGCTCCCTCTCTTTTAGGAGGACAAACTGCTGAGCCTGTTCTCTCCATCTCCATCCACCCTCATAGCAACCCCCCTAACATGACACACACCCCACCCAAACCTGAACCCCATTAAGATTAATAGCGAATCAACAAAACGAAATGTGAGTACTTCCTCATCGTTACAGAAATGAGATTTGTTGTTGCGGTCCTTGCACAACTGGAAGGAAAAAGCAATTATTCCACAATCTCCAAGGAATTCAAAGTCTGTCTCTTATAAAGTCAGAAAAATGGGGCAAAGGGTTGCAAAGAATCAAGGAAGAAAGGGAAAAAGTATTTACAGAGTGAGCGAGTGGAGTGTCCATAAGAAAAGGCTTCCTCGTCACTTCTTCTTGCCAGCCCTCTTGGCACTGGACTTGGCTTTGTGCTTCACTGGTTTGGCCTTCTTCGGCTTGGATGCCTTGACTGGCTTGGCCTTGACAACCTTGGGGTTTTTGGCTTTCTTGAGTGTGGCAACCGCTGCCTTCTTGGACTTCTTGACTGGGGTGGCTTTAGGTTTCTTGCTTGGGGCTTTGGAGGCAGCTTTCTTGGGCTTGGCTGCCTTCTTTAGCGTGGCCACCTTCTTGACCTCCTTCTTGGTCTTCTTGAAGGCTACTGCCCTCTTGGGCTCGTCCCTCTTGGCCAGCCGGAAGGAGCCGGAGGCACCCACCCCTTTGATTTGCTTGAGGATCCTGGTGGTTACCAGGAGCTTGATGGACAACTTGATCTGGGAGTCTGCATTCTCACCCACCTTGTAGTGGCTCTTGATGTACTTCTGGATGGACTGGCACGAGAAGCCCCACGGTTCTTCTCGGCCTGGATGGCAGCCACGATCATGTCCGAATACTTGGGGTGGTCTGTGGACTTCTTAGAGGCCTTGGCCCGCTTGGGCTTAGCCGCAGGGGAGGATGTGGAGTTCTCAGTCATGGTGGCCTGCTTGTTCCGCTGCTGAAGATGCCTTCCCTACCCCAGGATGTCTTGAACTCACAACAGTTCTTCTTCTCACCCTTCCGAGTGCTGGGATTACAGGCATATGTCACTACACCCAGGTCCTCCTATGAATTTATCATGAGGTAATTAACCAAAGGTATTAAAACTGCACATTTGCACAGGATAGTGCAAGCTGAGATTCTTATACAAATTCTTCGTGGTAAACAAAATTTAGAAATGACCCAAAAGTCTACCAGTTCACGGAGGATACTCACATAAATGAGGTCCACACATGGGCTATTCCTCACCCATAAGCGAAATGCAATTTATAGCTTTGTGATTTCATGAACATGCATTAAACCAGATACTCATTAATGCAAAGCTCCCTCTTGTGTGACCCTGGAAACACGCAGTAGCTACATGTTTCATGTCATGAATTGTAGAAAACAGTGTTGCAATTTACAGGGAATAGGAGGAAGTGGATTGCACAATAAAAATTGGAAACAATCCTAAATTTTCTTATACTAATGAACATGTAGATTTTGTATTGTTATGAAAAAGTCACAATGATAACTATATACTTGAAATTTGATCTTACTGTATGTGGGTCAAATTTATGGAAAGAGTCATGATAAAAGATAATGGGGGCCTGCCCCTTAGCTCAGTTCTTTAAGTGGCTGCTTCAACAAAGCCGTCAACCTCAGGTTGCTGTGGTTCAATCCCCACAACTCTAGCCAGCCAAACATGCCCTGAAGGCATTCTGAGCCAGCCAAAAATTAA